CAGAAATACCTAACTGACATTGAAATGAAAAACTCCCACTTATTGGTAAATCAACAGACCTCATAACCTCAAATTGTTAATGTGCACCCTGTTCTCTTAAAATTGCCGAAAAAAGCCACATGTTTATAAAAAAAAAATTTCAATCATTAACTTTTGAAAATGTTTTTATAGAAATATTGAATATGATGGAAATAAATTATAATAATGTGGCGTTTCCACTGCACTTGATTCGCTCTCTATTCGTTGTTTGACCCTTAACTATGAAAAAACTACCTAATTCTTCACACAAAATTTCCTGAGCGAACACTCATATTTGTACGTTGTTCAATTCAAATCACTCTCAGAACAACGAAAAAATATGTCCCATCCCTAACAAATGAGAGCATTTATCGAAAAAATAAATTATGACATTTAAAATTAAAAATAGAAAAATTTAATGAAAATTTAAAAATTTTTGGGAAGACTGAAAATTATGTATGAAAACTACAATGTTGAATGGCGTATGTACATTCAAACGAAAGTAAATTTTGTTTTCTCTCTCATTCGAAGTACGCATTTGGTCCACGAGATGAAATTTCAACAGAAAACTGCAAACAAAAGAGGCAATATTTTCAAAATGTTTCTATCGGCAGAAAAAATGTTTGACAAGTGTCTCTCCAGCAGAAATTAAAAATGGAAAAACACAAAAATATGTTCAAAATGTCAACGTTTACACAAAAAGTTGAAAACTTGAATGAAAATTGTAAAATTAATGATATAATAAATCTTTGGGAGGAAAACAATAATTTCTTCTATTCATATTAGTGAGTATTTCATGTATTTTCGTATAAATTCCCATTAAAATCCACAAACAAATTTTTTGAAAAAGGAATTACTTTACTATAAATTACGAATCGTGCCGTATGAACGGGTTAATTCGTGTACCTAATTCTGAGAGCGAACAATGTTGTTCGGTTTCCAATGGAAACATGCTATAAAATATGAAAACTAAACCACAACATTACTCGACATATAAGGGGTATTCACAATTGAGGAGAACAAGACAAACGATTTGTTATTAAAGACATGCTTACTATCATAATTCCACTAGATTTCAAATGTCGATTGATTTTATATTAACATGATTTACAATTTATAAACAATCTTAAATTATTCAGTTAAAAAAACTCATATTTTCGACGTAAACTGGATATGACGAAATATTCATGAGTTTTTTTGAGGTTATTTAAAAATAAAATTTCCAATTGGCTTTGAAACGCATGTCCTTCACGTTAATACTCCTAATAACAAATAACATACAAAGACATAGAAGTATAAAGATAGGACAAGACAGAGTAAAATATGGCAACCCTGTGAAAAATACCTCTGTTGTTATGATATCGTAACAACATAGTTACCAATGTTAAGCAATTTAAACCGCTAAGGCAGTATGCAATGATTTGGGAAGGTATATGGAATAGAATTTTGAAACTAATATTTTGGATTATCCAAACTTTTATTTGTCACTCTTTCATATAATTGTGTTTTTTATATTAACATGCCTTTGTCATGAACTGTTAATCAAGGTAGTATAGCCACAAACCATTTGCTCAGAATGCATTTTGTCTAGTCTTTACCATTTTAGGTCTTTGTAACATATTCATATACAAAAATAAAATATAAAACAAACTCCAACTTTTTGCAAAAATAAAATGCAATTTAATTTATTTTCCAAAACTATTTGCAACTACAATCCCCTTAGCATACATGTTCTATCAGCAGCAGCTATCTACCAACATACATATAATCCAACAACAAAAACTATGCATTTGTTAAATAAAAACCGCAGAAAATTCCCAAAACAAACAATTAACGCTAAAACCAATATTCTACGTACTTAAATAAATGAATTGTACAAAAAAAAAAAAAAAAACAAGAACCATTGTACTATAATAGACCTTAAAATCAATTTCGGTTTTTTTATTTCAATATTCTATAAAAAAAAACTTTTGCATTTCTATGGTTTTGAAAACCAACATCAATACATAATTACCAAGCTAAATCCACCCTGTCAAATTCAAAATTTAAAAAATTAACTCTAATGTTTAAAACTTTAGTCACCTGCAATAATTTTACTGTTAAACAAACCTGATTTGTTGTACTTTTTATTTATTGGAAATATCTTAAAATTATTAAAATATAAATATTGTTAACATTTTGCCAGGACAATTCCATTAAGAGTCCTTGATTTTTGTAATTTTTTTACAATTTTATTTAATTTAGACTAAATTAGAAAACAATCGAATTTTAATCGAATTGTCCTGACAAATGTCGCAAAAATAAAACAGGAACCATACAAAGAAACCCCCATAAAAAAAAGAATATAAGAAAATATATTTATGTCTCATGTGGACGATATATAAAACAAAAAATATTATGAAAAAATATATTTATGAATGAGAACAAAAATACCCAAAGAGAACAAAAAATAAATAAACAACAAATAAAGAAATGATATATATTTTAAAACAATGGAGATTTTGATGTTTTATTAATTAAAGAAAATCCAGGTGTGGGAAGTTTAAACTACACTTGAAGATTTAAAAATATATTTTAAATATTGAGAATTTGCCTTCAAGAATCGCAAAAAATCGTGGCCTTTTAATTGCAAATTTAGAAAATATATCAAGTGAAAAAGTTGTAAGGTCGGTCAGGCCAATCTTTGAATACCCTCCACTATTTGGAACGATTTAGGCAATTTTCAAAAATATAAAATCCTTTAAAAATTCTGTTAAAATCTTAAAAATATACGACGACGTGGACCTGCATAGGCAACTTTTGTCATAAACCATTACAATATTCAAAAACCAAATTTGAAACAATTCCGGTGAATAATGTAGCTAAAATCATCAAAATTCCGAATATAGGGAGGTACCGTTATATGGGGGATATACTAAGACGCACAGACAATTTTCTGTCTTAGGCTGTAGTACCTATTACGAACTTCAAATACCAAATTTGAAACAATTCCGGTGAATAATGTCGCTAAAATCATCAATGTACAGAATATCGGAAGGTGCCGTTATATGGGGGCTACATGAAGGAGTAGACTTGCACAGACAATTTTCTGTCATAGGCTGTAGTACCCATTATGAACTTTAAATACCAAATTTGAAACATTTTCGCTGAAAAATGTCGCTTAAAACACCAAAATACCGAATAAAGGGTGGTACCATTATGTGGGGGCTATACCAAAACGTGGACCTACATGGCTTATTTTCAATACCAAAAGTCCTGCAGATATAATATTAATTTGAGGAAAATGTTATCAACCTTATTCATTTCGTTCGGAAGCTAGAGTGATTTCCACAGACGGACAGGCGGACGGACGTCGCTAAATCGACACATAATTTTATGCTGATCAATAATATATATACTTTGTGGGGTCTAAAATGCATATTTCGCAGTGTTACAAACGGAACGACAAACTTAATATACCCTCCATTCTATAGAGTCCAATCAGTTGGATTTTGCTGCTACTTTCTAACAATTTGCCATGTACTGAAATATACTTGTCGATATTCTGAATATCACAATACGGATATGGTGGGACAGAATCCGATTTGTTCCAAACTTGGCACATCTTAATATTGTTAACAAACATAGATCAAGTTCGGATATGGGCAATATCGGTCCACTCCTTTTGGTAACTCCCCCACAAAAGGTCGATATTTTCAAAAAATATTTTAGTGCACAGAAAGAGAAAGGACAATCCGGTTTTACCCCAACTTTACAAATCCTAATATTTGCATCAGTGCTAGATCAGGTACAAAAATGGACAATAACGGTCCACTCCATCAAGTACCTCCCCCTACATTTTTGATGATAGAGTCCAATTGTCTTCAAATTACATACATCACAATTAATCCATGGTCTGATGTGTCGATGGAATACATTGGCCCCCTTAAAGGGGTCAAAATTTTGAATAGCAAAAGACTGATAAAAGCGAAAAAAGCATCCGACTCTCTTCAAATTTCACAAGTCCCAATATTGTTATTAACAAACGATCTGTTGTGAAGATGATAGATAGCGACCCACTCCTTCTGGAACCCAACATAAAAGGTGTCAAGGGGGCATAAATGCAAAATAAGCATCCGATTCTTTTCAAGTTTCACACATCCCAATATTTTTACTAACGAAAAATATGGTGTGTAGATTTGGTGTATCGGTCCACTGCTTCTGATGCCTCCCTTACAGGGTGCCAACATTTTGAATAATTATAACCCTTACCACAAAACTCAATAATTTCTACAAGCACAAGATCTGCTGTCAACATAGTAGATATCGGCCCACTTCTTCTAGTACCTCCCCCAAAAATGTGGTGACATTTTTGAATAATTATATCTCTTAGAAGGCAAAATAATCATCCGATTCTCAACAAATTTCACAAAACCCAATATTTCTACTAACATAAGATCTGGCGTGATCCGGGATATGTCGAATCCAACTACTTTTGTTACTCTCCACATATGGTCACAATTTGCCATATATTTTTCTATCTCTATTCAAGTAAATACTCTTTTCAAGTAAAGATTTGATGTAAATATTGCATTTACCGGCCCTCTCCTTCAGGTACTTCCTCCACAGAAGTTTAATGTTGATTAAATGATCGATTTTCTTAATTTTTTTTACAGCCCGATAATATTGAATTTTGAATATTTGAATTTTGTTGGTCTCATTCAATTGTATAGGTTAGTATTTACTACCAATGTTTCATCTTCTGGCCGCAAATCCGTCTCAAAATTCGGAGTCCACACAATATTTTCTTTTGGAAATACTGAGTTAGAGCATCTCACTACTGTTCACATATCACAAAAAAAATTAACAGCCAATAAACACCATATTTCAAGTGGTTGGCAACACCATATATTCAAACATTCATCCATCATTGATAACACAGAGCACATACAACCCTGTGTTGTGACACACGTAAACAAAAATTGACATTTTGTGAAAAACAACAACAACACCATTCAATTCCAATTGGTAATCATACGTAGTGTTTTTTTCTTTCGAAGGGGAACTTGTAAACGAACAACCAAAAAACGCCGCAAGCCAAGAAAACTCCCCAAAAAACTTTGTCCACAACGTTCGTTTTGTTGTAAATGCTAGACGGCTAGCAATGGCTAAACTATTGCTGAGTAAATCCGATGAAGAATATCTGGAAAAATGTGCAACACAGATGAAATTCAGCTATGGCATCATCATTGGTCAGGTAAGAGTTGTTGTTGTAAGAAATGCAGTTTCTTCGTCTTGTAAAGCTGTAAAAGAATGCGTGGAGCAGCTGTTGGCATGCATTTTTCTACATGACATGAGGGCAGCTGGCAATATCAATTATTGGGGCAAGACAATTTTTGTTCACACAATTTGTCTGGAACAGATAAAAGCTACGAATAAAATATGTAGGTGTGTGTGCATTTTTGCAAACCCCAACTTGGTGTTAACGTCATCACAACTGCTAACAAGTTCATTTGCACTTCAATTGTTGTCGTTTGCCGTATTTTTTTGCAATTATAATTAAAACTTTATTTCACGTTTTCATTAAGAAATCCGAACCTGGTAAATACATTGTCGTACATTTGGCCAAAAATGACGAGGAAGAAAGCGATTTTCCCGATGCCGACTCATCTGCAACGGTTGGTCCCCAAAAGGTTGATCAAATCAATTTGCAATCACTCGGTAATCAATGGTTAAGTGCCGGCAAAATGATACCCGGTTCTTTTAATGTTATGGGTGAGTTTTTTTTTTCATATTGGTGTGATGAATTACTAATTTAACAATTTTTCTTTTATTTATTATCACAGGATTATTTGTTGCCGGCGTTAGCAAAGATTATGTTGACGATTCTTCGGATGAATTCAAATCTGCCAAAAGACTGTTCTTTGATATGCACAAGTAAGTAAATATGAGTTGATAAGCAATTCCTTAGTGCTGTTCGAAAGAAAAAAAAAAAACCCAAACTAACTTTTTGAACAATTCGAAATATCAGGAGTTTTATAAGTCGAGTCCGACTAAACTATCGTCGTTGGTATTTGCAATTTATAACGTTTTGTTTGTAAAAATCCATTTTTAAAGGTTGAAGACGAATTTGATTTGTCTTTGTCAGAATAATAATTCCTATACTCCCAATAAAAAACAATCACGTCAAGGTTAAAATTTATAATCGATTTAAGGATTGTAATTAATACTCTGTGAAGTCAAGATCACTTTTTCACCTGCAATTTCTAGAGTGGACTTAAAAAATGATACTCTACTTGATTGTCCCTAAGTATATTGCTCGAACGGTATGGATCATCAAAAAATACATTAAGTGACTTTTCCATCTCCAAAGCCGACTTGGCTAACAGAAAGACCGTTTGAAAATGGGATTAGATATTTATGCTTTTCTTGAATGGAGACTAAATTTACTTTGTAGAATTACACCATTTTAAGGAAAATCAGGAAGGCCGAAAGGCTAATGTTAAAAATGTGAGGAAACGATGTTATAAATGCTAAAGGTCGTTAAAGGAAACACTTTTTTGAGTTGGCGAAAATAGCGTTTTCTCGAAAGAGATTAGAAAATCTTAGAATGAAAGAAAATTACTTCTTTTCAAAAATCGATTGGAATGGAAAGAGTTCGAATAGAAAGCCAGTAATAGTTTTTTTCCATAGAGATCAGATGATGAAAGCAGAAACACTATTCTTCATAAAAGTCAGAATGTCTTTTCATACAAAACAAGAAGCTGTTTGGTACAATGAGTTCGTCTTTTTTTAGACGATTATGAGGTCGAAAAAACCTTTTTATAAACCAGAGAGATCTTTCTATAGATAACACGAAGGTTTTCTAATAGATGACCAGAGCATTTTCTCATAAAATATCAGGGGGGTCTACTCATAGACGACCAGATGGTCTTCGTATAGACGACCAGGAGTTTTCCTTGTAGACGACTCGAAGGTCTCCTCATAGAGAAGCAGTTCTTCTCATCGAAAACTAAAATATCTTTTCATAGAAGATTAAGAGGTCTCCTCCTCATAAAAGATTAAAAGTTCTACTCATAAATTACCATAAAGCCTTCTTCTGGCTAGCTGAAGAATTGTTGATAGCAATTTTGCTTACCCGTGAGCCTCAGTCTGGCTCTAAAAAGAGTTGAACAGTGACAGAATAAGTGTTTCACAGATTCTATATCTTCCTCGTCTTGACGAAGCCTGCAGTAGTCAGTATGGTTATGTATTATCTGGAAGAAATGTTTCAAGAATGGCTTCAACTCTCAATGTCTACAACAGTTGATTCGGAACCACTTCTTGCCATTTCATCTGCATCTTCACTGCCAGTGATGTTACTGTGACCAGGAACCCAGCAAAGCTTAAAAAAGGACTTCACTTTTTTCAGAGCAATCCTGCACTCCATAGATTTGATGGTGTATTAATTTACCGCTTTTAGGGCCGCTTGACTATCGACATATATAGTCACCGGTCAGTTCAGTTTAATTGTTTGATTCATCAGCAATTCTACAGCTTTCCTGACAGCACAGTTTTCTGCATGAATACTCTACAGTCTTCATTGATTTTGAATGAGTTATAGACATAGAAATCGAGAAGGTCTTTCCACAGAGGAAAAAAAGTTATTTTCACAGAAGACCAGAAGGTATTTTCATAGAAGGTCTTGTCATAGAAGACCAGAAGTTATTCTTTAACAAAACTAGAAGATCTTCCCATAATAGTGTAGAATATCTTATCATAGAAGGCCAGAAGTCTTCCATAGAAAGCCACAAGATCTTCCCACATCAGTTCAAAAGCTCTTCTCATAGTAGATTACGATCTTCTCATGGAAAACATTACGGTCTTCTTGTATATGACCATACGGCCTTTTCTTAGAAGGCCAGAAGATCTTTTCATAGAAGACCAAAAGGTATGTACACAGGGTTATCTCATAGAAGGCAACGTTTGTGGCTATGATGGTCCTTGAAAAATATTCTTTAAAAAATTAACGTTTATAGCTATGATGGTCCTTGAAAAATATTCATTAAAAAATCCTCGTTTGTAGCTATGATGGTCCTTGAAAAATATTCATTAAAAAATCCACGTTTGTGGCTATGATGGCCCTTGAATAATATTCTTTAAAAAATCCACGTTTGTGGCTATGATGGTCCTTGAAAAATATTCTTTAAAAAATCAACGTTTGTGGCTATGATGGTCCTTGAAAAAATATTCTTTAAAAAATCCACGTTTGGAGGGCTTTTGGTTCTTGAAAAATATTCTTTAAAAAATCCACGTTTGTGGCTATGATGGTCCTTGAAAAATATTCCACGTTTAGAGGGCTTTTGGTCCTTGAAAAATATTCTTTAAAAAATCCACGTTTGTGGCTATGATGGTCCTTGAAAAATATTCCACGTTTAGAGGGCTTTTGGTCCTTGAAAAATATTCTTTAAAAAGTCCACGTTTGGAGGGCTTTTGGTCCTTGGAAAATATTCTTTAAAAAATCCACGTTTGGAGGGCTTTTGGTCCTTGAAAAATATTCTTTAAAAATACAAACATTACTATTTTCAATTATTAAAAGTCAATTGCTTCATTTTTCAGCCTACTTAAACAAGGACATCAATTCAAAAGTAACGAACACGATGATACCGAATACATATTCCTCACCTATTCCAGTGCTGCAAAAAAAGCTGCAAGTAAAATATATAACTATGTGGCAAAGTAAGTAGAAACGTCAACATTTTTTTATAAATATTCTATTACCTAAATTTGAATGTAACACCCTCAACATATTTTTTAACTGATATTAACACATTATTATGCACCTGCTTATCTCATTGGTTTTTGTAAATATTCATTAAAACATTTATATTTAAATTAATTTTTTTTTTAATTTATGTGCAATAGAACTGCTCTTAGAATGGTAGTATCTTGTAGACAAAAAGAGAACAATTTAATCAAAAATCTTAAATCGATCTATAAAGTGTATAAAAAGTTCTTAAAATAACCAACTCTTGCAAAACGTTTCTAAGTCTTGAAACAAAGAATAAGGATTCGTCATAGTACTTTGCATGTGTCTCAAAAACATTTCGTTCTTCTGTTTGTGTTATGTTGTTTCTTTTGTTGGTCGTTAACATTTTTCTTGGTTTTTTCTTGTTTTCTAGCAAATGCAAAAATCATTTAGAAGAGTTCTTGCGTTTTTGTTTTTCTTATAACTGGTTAATTCGAAATAATGTTGTTGAGATATTGTTAATATAATTATTGTTCTATTTCGATTTTTAATATTTTCTCTTTGAACAAAACCAAAAAAAAAAAATACTCGTGAATACTAAATCATTAACAGGGAATGCAAGAAAACCTACTTTACAGCACATATTAAATGTGTTTTATGGTAAATAATTTGATATCTAATAAAAAAATATGTCATTTATTATTAAATATTATTACGTGTATTTTTTAAATTTGTTGCTAATTTGTGTTTGTTTCTGATTTTAATTTGTGTTGATTTTTTATTTATATTTTGTATATTCAAAAGTTGCATCACCGTAATTTGCAATGTTGAGAGGGCTTGATTAAAATTTGGTAATTAGTTTGGCAGAGAAATAGATTTGAAAGTATTTTTAATTTGTAAACATCATTGCTGTTTTGGTATTTAGGTATAGAAAAAATTGTGAAACTCAATGAATTAAATCTTTTTAAATTATACCTAAATTCTGGAATGGAATGGAACTGAAAAAAAAAAAACAAAGAAAGCCAATTCATTCAACTTTTATCTTTAAAGTATTTAAAAAATTAGTTTTTAAAACAGCTCCGCTAGGAAGCCGCCTGCTACGTCAGTTCTCCAAATACAGGGTGAGATAAAAAAACTGCAACAAAGTCAAACGCCATAACTTTTACAATTTTTTTTTTAATTTTCTTGAATGAAATCAAAAAATGACGGAAATAGCATCAAATTTTAGAATAAGTTTAGATTTGTTCGAATTGGTCACCTTTGGCACAAATTATGGCCAATGAAACCGTCACACGCCGCCCGAATATTGCTCTGCGGTATTTTGGCCCATTCCCGGCGAAGGGCTTGCTTGAGGTGATCCACACTTCGGTATTTTTTAGTGCCAACCTTGCCTTTCAAAATACTCCAGACACAATAGTCCAACGGGTTGGTATCCGGAGATTTTGGTGGCCATTATGCGCTTTAAATGAGGCGAGAAACCACATTTTGTAACCATTCTTGGGTGGCGCGTGCTGAGTGCGATGGTGCTGAGTCTTGTTGGAATGTCCAAGGTCTGCGGTCAAAATATTTGCGTGCCCAAGGCTTTAATAAACCCTCGCGATAATATTCGGCATTCGGCCGAGAGCGACCAATGGCTGTTATGGCGGCCCACACCATCACCATGGCCGGAGCTTGAGTTCTGGTGGCCAACCGAAGGTGCACATTATCTGCTGACCTCTTTGGCAAGTAAACATGATAATTTTGTTTGTTTACAAACCGCTGGACAACGACTGTTTTCTTATCGGTGAAAACCCGATTCGGCAGTTCACCACTTTCGGCCAAGCGAATCAACTCTCTTTAGCTCTTTTGAGTCTATTTTCTTTCTGTTGCGGTGTAAGTTCTTGCACTTTTTGGCATTTCAATGGCCTTACCCCGAGCTCATTTTTAATTTTTGCTGAATGGAATATTGCGATATGTTCAGCTTACGAGCCACTGCGACGCGGGTTTCGATGAAGTAGCTTCTTTACTTTTCGAACCATTTCTGCTGATGTTGCTGTTTTCTTCCGTCCACTTCCTTGACGTCGGGCTACGCTACCAGTAACGCTGTCACGGTAACGAGCGATGGTTCGAGACACAAAAGATTTATTCACATTTAAATGCTGAGTGCTCTAACGATAGCCACCTGTGGTTTTCCAGCCAAATATAAAGAAATCACACTATCACGCTTGAATTCCATCACGAATACCTTCTTTTCTGGAAAATTCTCACCAAAATGCTTTTTTAGGCTTGTTAACAATATAATAAGTTGTCACTGGAATAATTTTAACAGCTGTCGGTCGAGTCGCTTAGAAATGACAGCAATCTGAAGTTGGTTGCAGTTTTTTCATCTCACCCTATATATTAATTTATTTCACTGTCTTTCCAAGTCAGAGGTCTGACAGTACAGTGGGCTGTGTCCAGACCCACTTCAAGTCTTATCTCTAAATAGGGAGCTAGTTAATCATCAGGATAAGGTCGACCAGATTATTTGATTGTCCTACAAATACATTACATTTTTCATCGGTTACAGTTATTTAAAAAATGTATTACCCGCAAAAATCCGTAGTGGTAAATAGTATTAAAAATGTCCGATTTACAATGTTATTCGGAATAATTTTGTATCAGTGTAAACCAATCGGAATACTTTCCGTATTTATAAGAGAATTTTATCAATGTTTTACGTTATTTTTTTTGAAATAAACGGCCTTTGCCACTGTCCGTTTGACTTAGCTGAGAAATGAGTTCTGGGTGAAGCTCTGAACCCTTTAGTATTTTTATTAACAATTCATTTGAAGAACTCTAGCTTATGTTGATCAAATTATAAGGAGTTTCTTACAATATTTGGCTTTTAAATCATTTAAAAAAGCTTAAGGACTTTTTGTTTTGTAAAGCTATGACCGTTTTAGGCACTGCAATTTTTGAGTTTGCAAACGGATTTAAGTGTACTTTGTTTTCCCAAAAAAAAAGAAAAAAAAAATATTTTAAAAAGGTTTGTGCGTTTTTTTTTTTTGGTTTCAAAAACATCATCCTGCGATTTTTGTATTAAGTTTCATGTCATGATTTCAAACACTATTAACCACCACATCAGTGTCACCATTTTCAAAAAAAAAAAAAAAAAAACTAACCCTGACCTAAGTTAAGACTCATGCAAAAACAGAAAACAAAATAATCAATATCTCTCTGTATGAACCTACTCAATTTTTATAGCGGTGGCACATTTTCACCCCTGGACTATCGTTTTGTGGAGAAACCCTTCGAATGGTATACGTTCGAGTGTAACTATGAACTGAACGATGTATTCCCCATTTTGGATGCTTCGGAGAAGATCAATATCGAGGTGCAATTTCAAAAGACCATAGATACGGTGCGCAACAGTCTAAATGCCAGCGAGATTTTCTTGCAAAATGAATGTGTCGATGATGGACAAATCCTGGATAGCTATATTAAACACTTGCATCAGGGTGGCGGACGTAAAGCCAACAGTGATGAGAGTTATAAGGCAACCATATTCCTACCCATCAAGTGCCAAAATACCAAAGGAAATCAACGGATACATGTCAAAGAATTCAATGGTACGATTCGTTTGTCCGGTGTGGTCTCATCAAGGGTGTGGTGTAATCCCAAGAATACAATAGGTGATGTGAAACGTTTCATACGCGAAGATGTCATACGTTCTTTGATGGCACGCATCCAGGTGTATTGTGATGGTCTTACCGAGCCGAATATTAGCAATGATGCTATTTTCATTTCGGAACCTCCACGTCGGGTGTATTTCAATGTCAATGCTGGCAGCGGTCAGAAATCAATACAGTTCAGTGATTATATTTTCCGTGGTGAAACGCCCACAGTTGCTGCGGCCCAGGCCAAACAGATACTCGATTTGGACATAACACCCGACAGTATATCGGCCGATTTGGAAGGTGTACCCGAAGATGAAACATTCAGCGATACCTCATTTGAAATGCCGACCACGGATAAACAGAAAATGCAAAAATTGGGTAGCCTAGATCCGGCTGGCCAAAGGGATCTCACACGTACCATGTACATGTTGGGCATTGCGGTTTCCCTGCTGGTGCTGGTGATAGCCATTGTTGTGCACTATTTCATGAAATGAAATTTTTGGAAGAGGCGAGGCGTTGGCGCGGCGTTTTTGTTGGACAATTTGGTTGCGCATATTAACAGCAAACAAGAAAACATCACTCGGTTCACAGACTCAAGCACACACCCCACATAAACACACACACCCCCTGTACTTGTTGGTAAAATACGTTTTTCATGTTTTTTTAATTTTTTTACTTAATTGTATGATGTACTTTTTGTATTTTGTTTTTTATATAAATTATTTTTTTGTAATTGTCTTGTTTTGAAAAAAATATATACATATGTATTTAAAAAACGAAGGGAAATTTTGTAAAGCCATTGCAATGGTTTTGGCAATAGTTAAACAAAATATACTTAGAAATTAGTTAAATAAAACAAAAAACAAAACTGATAACAAAATCGCAAACTGTTACGTAGAAATGAAAGTGGCCTTCTTTGGAGAGCAGCTGTAATGTGTTTCAAGAAATTTAATATGTTTGCATTTAAAGTTAATACATCGATTTAAAGAAGGATGTCTTATGCTCTACCGCCACATGAGGGTATTTGTTTTTACCTCTACTTCATCGTTTCCTTAACCAAAACCTATGATTTGAGTTAAATATTTCACCGGCAGTTTTTCGAGCTTTCTGAAAATCACAGTTGTTCGTGTCAGATTTCTTTTTGTCAAAGATGTACCCCAGAGTTTATGTTGCAAATACCATCCGGAACTATAAGTCCTTTAAACGATGATAATGGATAAATAAAAATAGCTAGGTATTTCCATAAGGTCCTCAATTTTTTTTCTGGTCTATCACATATACGACAAGGACATGCAGTGTAGTCTCAATGTTTATACCCTACACCACAAGATGGTCAGGATATTATGTCTTTGTGCATTTGTTTGTAACAGGCAAAAGGAAACGAGATAGACCCATAGTTCCTTTTAATGATCTGCATAGAATCACATTCTGAGTCGATTTATGCATGTCCGTCCGTCTGTCCGTCCGTCCGTCTGTCCATGTATTTTGCCCGATCCAGATGAAAATTTGCACAGATCATTTGCTTGGCCCAAGGACGAACCCTATTGAAATTGGAGATAATCGGTCAAAACGTAGATATAGCTCCACATATATCTTCATCCGATTTGCCTTTTATTGTGTACCAAACGTGTAATATCAGCCCGAATAGTATGGAATTTTGCATATAGATCCAAATTAGGCCTAAAAATAAGTATGCCAAATTTGATCGAAATCGGTTCAGATTTAGCTATAGCTCCCATATATATTGTTCATCCGATTTGTTATTTTTGTCCTTCGCAGCCGTAACATGCACTCCGTAACAACGATATTCAGGGAAATATATCAAATACAGCTCAGAAATATCTTTGCCAAATTATATCGAGATCGGTTCAGATTTGGATATAGCTCCCATATATAACTTCGTCCGATTTACCTTTTATTGTGCACCAAACCTCTAGTATTTGTCTAAATGGGATGGAATTTGGCACTTACGACCGAATTGAGTCTAGAAGCTAGTGTGTCAAATTTGGTGAAGATCGGTTCAGATATACCTATAGCTCCCATATATATTGTTTATTCGATTTGTTATATTTGTTACCCATATCCGTAATATGTACTCCGTAACAACGATATTCAGGGAAATATATCAAATATAGCTCAGAAATATCTTTGCCAAATTTTATCGAGATCGGTTCCGATTTGGATATAGCTCCCATATATATTATTATCCGATTTTAAATTATTTGTGCACCAAATAGGCAACACATGTCCGAATTTAAAAGATACAAATGCTTCGACATATTTAGTCCTTTGAACCTTAAATTATAATTATAATCATAGTTTGTATGATTGAATTCTCCCATAAAAACTTTTTATTGTTATGTGGAGCTCTACTAAATTAGCAAAGTGGTGTAGGGTATCATAAAGTCGGCCCCGCCCGACTTTAAGACTTTCTTTACTGGTTTTTTTTTGGAATTTGGAAAAAGAGCATTTGGAAACCTGTGAACCTTTTTACTTTGCCAGAAGGTTAACAGGTTGGTTGAGGAGCATATGTGGAAAAAGGAACTAGATCCGGCCCTGTGAACAAGAATGAGGATATATGTCACCATTAACACATTTATGGTGAACAATCTTAAAATTTGAGTTAACTATTCACCCGGTAAGCTTTATACAGGGTCAGATGAAAAAAGACGCAACCAACTTTAGGCTGCCGTCATTTTTAAGCCACTCGTCCGACAGAAGTTAAAATTAAACGCAACAACAGATGCTGTCATTTCTACGCCACTCGTCCGACAGCAGTTAAAATTATTCCAGTGGCAGCTTATAATATTGTTTTCAAGCGTACAAAAGCATTTTGGTGAAAATTTTCCAGAAAAAAGTTATTCTTGATGGAATGCAAGCGTGATAGTGTGAAAGAAATCACACATTTTGGCTGGAAAACCACAACTGGCCATCGTTAGAGCACTCCAACATTTAAATGTGAATAAATCTTTTGTGTCTCGTACCATCGCTCGTTACCGTGATACTGGCGGCGTAGCCCGACGTCAAGGATGAGGATGGAAGAAAACAGCAACACCAGCAGAAATTGTTCGAAAAATGGCTCGTGAGCTGAACATATCGCAATATTCCATTCGGCAAATATTGAAAAATGAGCTCGGGGTACAGCTATTGAAAATCCAAAAAGTGCAAGAACTTACGTCGCAACAAAAATAAAATATACTCAAAAGTGCTAAAAAGTTGCTTTGTTTGGCCGAAAGTTGTGAACTGCCGAATTTGGTTTTCTCCGATGAGAAAACAATCGTTGTCCAGCAGTTTGTAAACAAACAAAATGATCGTGTTTACTTGCCAAAGAGGTCAGCTGAAAATGTGAACCTTCGGTTGGCCACCAGAACTCAAGCGCCGGCCATGGTGATGGTGTGGGCCACCATTACAACCGATGGTCGCCCTCTCTCATATTAATCGACGGTGGCATCAGAATTAATGCCGAATATTATCGGGAAATTATTCTGGAGGGTGTATTAAAGCTTTAGGCGCGCAAACATTTTGGCCATCGCACTCAGCACGCGCCACTCTAGTATGGTTACAATATGAGGTTCCTCGCTTCACGCACAATGGCCACCAAAATCTCCGGATACCAATCCGTTGGACTATTGTGTCACGAGAATTTTGGAAAGCAAGGTTGGCACTAAAAAATACCAGTGCCGATCACCTCAAGCAAGCGCTGCGCAGGGAATTGTCCAAAATACCGCCGAGCAATATTCGGGTAGCGTGTGAGCTTCACAATTTGTATTGTCTCTAGGTTGGTTGGTATTGAAAATGTGGTATAACGGTGTACGTTTTGGTATAGCCGCCTTATAACGGTACCTCCCATTATTCTGCATTTTGATGATTTTTGTCACATTTTTCCACGGATTTATCTAAAAATTGGTATTTGTGGGTCATATTGGGTTCAAGCTCCGGTGGAGCAACATTGTATGTATAAGTCCGCGTTCTTGTATTGTCCCCGTATAATGGTTCCTCCCGATATTCGGTTTTTGTATAGTCCCCATATAAGGTACATCCCTATATTCTGTATTTTGATGATCACCCCATATAAAGGTACTTACCGATAGTCGGTGTTTTCATGATTTTTGCTACATTATTCGCGGGAATTATAACAAATTTCGTATTTAAAGTTCGTAATGGATACTACAGCCTATGACAAACAATTTTGTGTGCAGTTTCATATTTTAGTATATCCCCCAAATTAACAGTACCTTTCGATATTCGGTATTCTGATGATTTTAGCGACAGTATACACCGGAATTGTTTCAAATTGGTATTTGAAGTTGGTAATAGGTACTACAGCCTACGGATTTTTTTAAGTGGTTGTTTTCGGAATTTGTTTTTGTTTCACATTTTTCAAGTTTCTTCCAAATTGGGATGTTAAAAGTTCAGCCCGGCCGAACTTAGCTGCTTTTTATACCCTCCACCATACTATGGAGGGTATATTAATTTTGTCATTCCGTTTGTAACTCCTCGAAATATTCATGTCAGACCCAACAAAGTATATATATTCTTGATCAGCGTAAAATTCTAAGACGATTTAGCCATGTCCGTCTGTCTGTCTGTCTGTCTGTCTGTCTGTCCGTCTGTCTGTCTGTCTGTCCGTCTGTCCGTCTGTCTGTCCGTCTGTCTGTTGTAATCACGCTATCTTTCGAACAAATTGAGATAGAAGGCTAAAATTTTGCACACATGTATTTTTTCCCAGTAGGCAGGTTAAGTTCGTAAATGGGCCATGTAGGTCCAAGTTATCATATAGCCCCCATATAACGGTACCTCCCGATATTCGGTATTTTGATAATTTTAGCGACATTATTCACCGGAATTATTTCAAATTTGGCATTTGAAGTTTGTAATGGATACTACAGCCTAAGACAGAAAATTATCTGTGCAGGTCCACGTCTTCGTATAGCCCCCATATAACGGTACCCCCCATATTCGGTATTTTGACGATTTTAGCTACATTATAAACAGATTTTTCTTCAAGTTTCGCATTTATATATTGTAATAATTTATGACAAAAGTTGCCTATGCAGGCCCACGTCGTCGTATAAGCATTCGGTATTTTTAAGATTTTAACAGAATTTTTAACGGTTTTTTTTCGGAAATTGCCAAATTTGTACCAAATGGTGGAGGGTATTAAAAGTTCGGCCCGGCCGAACTTACAGCTTTTTTACTTGTTTACTTCTTTTAATTGTATTTTTTAATGAGTGATTTCGGTCCCCTTTTTTGAGTAGATTCTTTATGAGGGTTCAAGTTTTAGTAATATTTTCCATTTCTTTGAAAATTATTGTAGGTCCACGTTTTGTCATATCAAATAATTTGTTTGAAATTCTGGGTTTGGGTTCTTCGGGATAGAACATCTTTCAGCAGAATATAAAAAAAAATATTTTTAAATTTGACGTCATCCTTCTAAAATTATGTTTTAGAACAATTTAACATATACTCACTTGGAGTACTTTAACCCTAAAATGCGTTTTCAATATTTATAAATATTTAGCGTTTAGCCGTTAAAATTTTCTATCTAAATAATTCCCGTATTGTTATCGGTGACATTGCCGAAAGGATTTCAAACAACTTGATCCGAAAAATTAAGAAAGGGAAGGGAGAACTCGCCCTCCTCTTTTTAATTTCATTTGCGATTTATACTTTCGAAACACCGATACAGGCATCTTCTTCATTCATAATCTACTTAAGTTTTCCCGTAATTATGGAAAAAATTGAATTGGAATTGAACATATTTCTGAAACTAAGGTTTCCCATTAAAGAACCTGAGGTAAAAATTTCAAATGCATCAGCTAATAAACAAAAATTTTTGAATCATTTTAATTTTTGAAATATTCCGAATGCTATAAACAT